AAACGTTAAGTAACGTTAACGTTAACGTTAGTAGTAGTAAGTAATTAATAACTACTACTATAGTAGTACGTACTACAACTACTAACTATACTATATATATATATATATATATATATATATATATATATATAGCGAGAGAGAGAGAGAAAGAATATAATTGGAAGTAGTGAGAAAAGATATGCGGATTTATAGCCTCACTGAAGGTATAACCCTTTACAAAGCAGAATAGAGGATTACGATTCATGTAGCCAACTCAAATAGTTCAGAAAAGGCTATGATGATATATATATGGGAAAGCTTTCTATGTTCTCCTACAACATAGAAGTTCTATCCTCCCCTTATCCAACCGTCCATTTTTTAATGGAGGGCTAAGATCGGCCCAATCACAATGTCACGTCTCTACATTGTTTTATTTTTATTTTCTTTTTCTATAAACTGTTTTGACACCAAATTTTGGACGTCCATTCTTCTATTAAACTCGCACTATCAAAAAATATAAAAAATATATTTTCAATAAAATAAAATGACCAAAATACCCCTGAAAGTTTCAAGGGGTATTTTGGTCATTATTTTTTATTGAAAAATTATTGTTAATATTTTTTATAGGTGCGCCCCAATGAGAAGATGGCACGTGCCAAATTTCATATTCAGCAAAATTGTTTTAAAAAATTAAAAATAAATACTTTGAGACGACGGATCTAAGATCAAACGGTTAGTGCCTCTCTTGATAAAAAATGGACGGCTGGATGATAAAGGGAGGATAGAACTTCTATGTTGTAGGGGCGACATAGAAAGCTTTCCCTCTCTCTCTCTCTCTCTCTCTATATATATATATATATAGGGTGCAATTTGTATAGAGCTGGGGTTCTAAACAATCAAAGTAAAGCCCACATTCAAATAGTGTCGAGAAATGTGGTTTCAATACTGGAAATCTTTCTGATAGCCTTAAAATATATTTTCTTCTTTAATTAAAAAATTTGAAGTTTAAAAAATAGTGTAGATCGAGCAGATCTATGAAAACTTGAAAAATTTAAAAAATTGACGGTCCAAAAATGCGTTACAAGATGAACTATTTTCAAAACTTGAAATTCATTTTTTCTCTCATGCACATGCATCTTGATGTCAAGATAATCAATTTGAGGATATTTGAGCATCAAAACAACCTCTTCTAGTGAACTTTTTGAGGTGGGCTCTAATTTGTTTGTTTAGAGCCTTGGCTCTATATAAACTTTTTCTATAAGTATATACAGGGAAAAGCTTGGGTTAGTCCACCAGCTTACAGCTACATATGAGCCCAACAGTCTAAATTCAATCTGGGCCAATCTGATAGTTACGACCTCATTTTGTATTTTAATTTTAATTTTTTTTTACAACTCCACATAAGTTGAAATTTTAAGCGTTCATTCTTCTCATCAAGGCAAACCTAATAATAATATTAAAAAATAATTCAAAAAAATAAATTAACCAAAATACCCCTGAAAATTTTAGTGATATTTTTATCCATTTAGTTTTTGCAAATTATTTTTTGATATTTTTCTTAGATTCTACTACTTTTACAGAATACACACCCAAAATTTCAAGTGATTTGAATTTTTTTAAAAAAATTAAATTTCAAATACGAAATGAGGTCATGATTGACCCAGATTAAATCTGAGCTGTTGGGCTCATATGTAGCTGTGAGCCAGTGGGCTAACCTCAACCTTTCCCATATATTATATATATAGATGGGTTTTGTTACACTACACCATGTTTGGTGTAAACACTTATCCTGCATACCAAAAAGTTGACCAAAATATACAAAAGGCCCAATATTTTATGTATTGTTTGTGAAGGCATTTTAGTCCTTTTCTACAATTAAAATATTGAGTTGAAAACCTTCTCCAAATCTCCATGCCACGTGGGAGGGGCAATTATAATAACCATTAAAATATTGGGGGCTCTTTTACTCTATAACCATTAAAATATTGGGGGCTATTTTTCTGTTTTAATGATAAAAATACTAAAATGCCCTCACAAACAATACATAAAGGGTGCGGTTTCTATAATAAACAATTCAATTAAGGCACACCTCCAAATTTACCATAATATGCAATTTTGGTGTAAAAATTCTTAGGATTATCACAGAATCTATTTTCATATCAAATTCTAAAATTGTAAGCTCAAAAAATGGTTAAAATCAAGTAGAACTATAAAGATATGAAAATCTTGAAAATGGACAGTCTAGATAATGTGTTGCAAGATGCACTATTTCTATGACTCAATCTTTTTTTTTTCATATTCATACATCTCGATGTCAAGATGATCAATTAGAGGGTTTTTCAACATCTAAACAACCTTTTCCAATGGATTTTTATCAACTTTTGTTGTGCAGGATAAGCGTTTACACCAAACGTGGTGTAGCGTAACAAAACCATATATATATATATATATATATATATATATATATATATA